CTGTAAAAAAAAATCCTTTTTTAATTTCGCAAGGGCGGCGCCATGGGAGGCTGCGATTTTTTTTCTATATACGGTGTATAAAATTTCGGTTTCACACCGTTCGTCCGTGTACCATGAAACTTTTGGGAGATGATTAGATCACTCAATGGTAGGGTTCTACAAAAAAATATTGTTTAATATTGCAAGGGCGGCGTCCCCGGGGGGGAGCGATTTTTTTTCTCTATACGCGGTATATAAAAAATAAAACTCGGATGCGGTTCATCCGAGTGCCATGAAACTTTAGGGAGTAGATGAGAATACTCCCGAGAATATTTCTGCGAAACGAAAACTAAAGTTTCTTATGGGCGGCGCCATATAGGGTACAACTTTCGTCAATACACGGTTTGGCACCCAGAGTTTTAGAGCGACTATGTTGGCACTTGGCATCCGTTAATCGAGCGTTCTGCATAGCGAGTAAGGGATACTACTATATTCAGCGGTAGAACTACAACAGGCTTCAAAAATAACTTTGTAACGCGAGGAAATCCTTCTGTACAGTTTCGTCACCTTGCGAAAGATGAAAAAATAACATATTGCATCAGTCACACTGATATTTAAAACACGTCAAATAATTTTTTTACGTGTTAAAGAAAAAAAATCCTGTTCATTTGTGTCACTTTAGCGAATGACGAAATCTGCATCATTGTTAACAGGATGCTATTAGCACGATGGCGTCTGTTACTTTTAAGGAGCCAGGGGCCGTACGCCGCGCCTATGCAGTAGTGTAATCGGGTGGTGGGGCCCTGAGAGCGCCCCTCTATGTCTCTGACACAGGGGCGGTCACCGAAGTGTATTCTACCATATTATGTCGGTGAGTGATTAATGTACACTTAAGGTTTTCATGCGGTAATGTAGGTAAACCCGTGTCCTGATATTTATGATCCAAGAACAGGCATTGTTTACATTTAAATAACTCATTTTTAGAAAAGAAGGTCCCGCGTCTAAGAACATATAATTGATAACGCGTTGGTGAAATCCTTCTAATATATTTCGTCAAACTCTCTTCTATCCCCGCGGCAACGCGCGGGGGTCGGGTACGCTAGTTACTTATAAAAAGACACTGAGATGCACTGAAAAGTACTGCATTGTGCGATGTTTACTTTTAATGTTCCATAATCAACAGCGATGACACGAGAACTGATACACTACCAGCCCGCTCATATTATAGATATATGTCAGTCATCGCTATGGATTCTAGAACCAAAAAAAGTAAGCATCAACACTTTTATTTGTTGAGTCCGTTGCCTGGTACGCCTCACCCAAACCAATATGTTAATTCCCGATCCAACCATAAGCTGCAAATATCTAACCTGAATACAACCATAAGATTAGTAGCAATGTCTTGTGTTGTAATACTGTTTAAAATATGATGATGTTGTATTACCAATAAAAATAAAGACACATTCTCAGAAAATAAACCGGGAGTGATCTCCCCTAAACTTTCTCGAATATTCTAATATAAAACTACGAGGGATGGCAACTCAGGACATAGACAATATTTGTAATCCATTTTTAATTACTTAAACTTTTTATAATAGAATGGAATCTTGTAAAAAAAAAGAATTGCACACCAAGTGAACGCCTAATAAAATGTGCATAATAGTGCGCAATATTATGAGTATATAAATTTATATGCGTTTTTTGAGAAATCGGAAATAGCGTAAATTAGTACTTACGGTCAACGGAAATTACTCAAAATTTGACAGAAGGTAGAGAATTAGATCTTTTACTTACATGTGAAATTTCATTTATCTATCTGAAATAGTACTCAAGTTATAGGCTTTTGAACAATTCAAAGCAGAAAAAGTACCACTTCCGTTTATTGGAAATCGCTCAAAAGTTGATACGGATCTACGATTTTGATAAAATACTTATATATGAAATTTCATCAACCTAGCTTTAACGGTACTCAAGTAATCGTGTTTACACACAGACACACACACAGACACACACACACACACAGACACACAGACATACGGACAAGATTGCAAAATTATGTTTTTCCGTATCAGCGAGGTGTAAAACGTCGAGATTTGTAAAAATCTCGATTTTTTTTTGCACGTTTACAATACTTTCTCTATACTTAGTATATACGAGAAAGTAAAAAGTAATGAACCAGAACCCTCTCATAACCCCTCCATTTCAATGTTTTTCCCCCATGACCCTACCCCCAGTTTTCTTTTCAATAGCACGTGCTTACTATTTATTACCCCCTGTATACACATCTATGTATCTATCTAAATATATAAAAAGCAATGAATGTGTGAGAGTGTGTGTGTGTGTGTGTGTGTGTGTGTGTGTGTGTGTGTGTGTGTGTGTGTGTGTGTGTGTGTGTGTGTGTGTGTGTGTGTGTCTTTTATGCATTACTACACCTTTCATCCGGTCGCGTGAAACTTTGGGAAGTTGTTGAGAATAATCATGGGAGGGCGCGATTTGATTCTTCTCTATATACGATATATAAAAAAAAATTCGATTGCTGTTTAACACCGTTCATCCGATCGCCACCAAACTTTGGGGATCTGTTTAGAGTGCTCCTGGGAAGGGTTTTACAATAAAAAAAAATAATTTCGCAAGGGCGGCGCCCCGAAAGGGTGCTTTTTTCTCTACATATGGTGTATAAAAAGTCGGATGCGGTTTGACACCATTCATCCGAGTGCCATGAAATTTTGGGGAGTTGATGAGAATACTCTCGAGAAGGTTTCTGCGAAAAACAATTTAAATTTCTTATGTGCGGCGCTCGTGAGGGGGCGATTTTTGTCAATACACGGTTCGGCGCCCAGAGATCCAGAGCGGCTATCTAAGCACTTATTATCCACAAATCGGGCGTCATGTATAGCAGGTGATGGAGACTACTATGTTCTTCAACATACTTCAAGAGGCGCAGCCCCCGGCGCCCCGGCTATTGTGAGACACATGTGAGCACTATGGCTCCTACTTTCGTTTTTTTTTTTTAAAAAAAAGGTTATACACTAAAGACACAATGGGTAACAATATTCTCTGGCGCCCTGGCAGGGGGGCGATTGGTGAATCATCTTGGAAACATTACCATGTTTGAGAAACTCTGCCGTGTGGTAGATGAATCTGATTGTGAGATAAAATAAACCGGGATTGATCTCCTTTAAACTTTCTCGAATATTCTTATATAAAACAACAGGGGACGGCAACTCGGAAAATAGACATGATTTTAAATCCATATTTAATTATTTAACCTTTTTAAAATAGAATAAAATCTCGTAGAAAAAAGAATTGCACACCAAGTGAACGCAAAACAAAATGTGTATAATAGAGCGGAATATTATTAGTACTTTATAAATTCACATGCATTTTTTGAGAAATCGGAAATAGCCTAAATTACTACTTCCGGTCAACGGAAGTTACTAAAAATTTGAAAGAAGGCAGAGAACTAGATCTTTTACTTATATGTGAAATTTCATTTATCTATCTGAATTGAATGTAGAAAAAGTTCCACTTCCGGTTATCGAAAATCGCTGAAAAGTTGATACCGATCTACAAATTTGATATAATACTTATATATGAAATTTCATCAACCTAGCTGTAACGGTTATCGGGTCTACACACACACACACACACACACACACACACATACACACACAGACATACGGACAAGATTACAAAACTTTGTTTTTCCGACTCATGGAGGTGTAAAACGTCGAGAATTGTTGCAAAAATCCTGATTTTTTTTTTGCACAATTACAATACTTTATTACAATATACGATATTACAATCATTACAATATACGAGAACGTAAAAATTGATTGAAACGTTCCTTTTTAAACAACGCAAATTGAAACATTTTTCGTCGGATATATGAAGATTAATGGACCAAGGGAGGTAAACAAGATTAAAAAGAGAGGCGTAAGCATTGGCACGGTTGTCTGTCTCTGGCGACACTACTATATTGTTTATCGTTTTGTCTTTAGACTTGAAGCTGGTGTTTAACAAACAAAAACTGTCGTTTTAGGAACGTAAAGTCGGCCGCGGCTTGTAAGTATTGTAAAAAAGTGACTCATTATTTTGGCTTTTTTAATAAAGGTATATTGTTATATATTTGTGTCAAATGTAATAGAAATTGAATAATAAAGCAAAATCAATGTATAAATATAATATAGATCTATATCAGTATAAATATAGAATATATATATATAGATCTAGATCTCTATACCAAAAATTAACTTTAAACAGCAGTGTTTAATTAATTTTCTGTACATTTATATTAACAGCGGCCATCTGTAAATTAGAGTGGTTTCCCCTGAATCCCTAACTATACATTTTAGGTTAAAAAAATTCATAAAAAACGTTTTAATAACAAGCTTTTATGTAATGATGCACTAAAAAGTAGAAAATAAATTATAGACTACTATTTAAATAACTATAAAGAAAAGCGTGGGTCACTTTAGTATCTATTGGATACCTTTACTAATGTTAAGGAAGACACCCACGCTTTTCTTTATAGTTATTTAAATAGTAGTCTATAATTTATTTTCTACTTTTTAGTGCATCATTACATAAAAGCTTGTTATTAAAACGTTTTTTATGAATTTTTTTTTTTCAGTACTTTACATGTTTTATCTACAATAGAGTTACATGACTAAAAACCATTGCGCGCCTACTGAATATCACGTTCAGTAGGCGCGCAATGGTTTTTGAACGCAGCCATTACGTGGTCGTGATGGCGCAGCTATTGATGACGCGTGTGGTGTGGTTGGCTAGACATGCCTACTAATTCGGTCCAAATTTTAATTAATTCATAAAAAATCAATTAGGCATCCAATTAAGTCAAATTTAGTTTCAGATTGCATTGTCTTCATGTCTTGACCCACGTGCCAACTGTGAATCGTGTCGGTCAAGTAGAACTGTCCGAATTTTCACTCCTGCGTTTCCGTCTAGACTGACGACAGACTGACGACAGAGGAAGTGAGTTAAATAAAAGCTTGTAAAAAGAACCTAAAGCAAGATGGCTGCTTAAGTAAATGAGCTTGGATGCATCTGATGAAAACATCGCTACTGTTAACTTATTAAATATTAGAATATTAGGGCCTGTTGAAAAGTTTTAACACAATTGTTTAAAACTAGGTAGATCTAGATCTAGATCTCTATATGAATGAGTATTGAATGAGACTTTCCAAACATTTTTGTAACTTTTAAAATCTAGAAATCTAGAGTAGACTCTATAAGTGAGTAGGCCTAAAAATAAATCCTCCTAAAAAGGTGAAATAAAATTAGTTTTACTAGTCTAGATCTATAGATCTAGATCTAGATTTCTAGATCTAGAATATTAGATTTAGAAATTCTACTAGGCTCTATAGATCTACGATCATTTACTGACATTTACCATTAACTTTAACATTTAGCTAGATCTAGATCTACAACTAGAAAAAAGACTAGACTATATCTGATAATAATATCTAGATCTAGAATCTAGGTGTGTAAAATAAAATTAAAATCGGCTGAGGCTAGAACTAGAATGTGAAAGAAAGCTTCCTTAATCATATTATTCATATGTTATGGCTGTAATACATGTTGATCTATATAGGCCTATCCGTGATATAGGGCATAGGGCCTAAGTGTTAAATTTAAATAGGTCTAGATTAGGCCCTATATTTAATATTAAATATAGGCCCCTATTGGCTATTAGGCCTATATTAAACTATATTAGTAGCTGAATAGTAAACTAAAAGCTATAAGGCCTAGCTAGTAGCTAATTAATACTAATTAGCCTATATAATATATTCCTATAGGCAAGAAATTAACTTAAAACAGCAGTGTTTGCTAGCAAGATTTGCTGAGTGTGGGGAAATTGTGAGAAGCGAAATGGCGAGGCGGGAAAATGCGAGAAGGGCGCGAAAACGGTTGGTCACGTGACTTTTTGTCTCGCATTTTACCACAACCCGATACTTACGCTGGGTGGTGTTGAAATGCGAAGATTTCTGCGAAAAATTTACCGCACCCGATTTTTAGTGGTATGTGGTCCAGACTTTAAAGACGTTTCGTTTACATTGTTAAAACTTCGGATTTTTCCGTCGCTAGACATACTGATGATTTGTGAACTCCCCCCATCTTTTGTATCGACTTAGAATACCACCTTGTTCGAAACCGCCCGAAATACCGCAGACAATAGATCAACTTCTTTCTTTTCTGTGGAACGCCGAGGTCGCCTGATTTACCGTCTTTGAAGATCACCGTGCCCCAATCCGCTGCCGCTGCAAACATATTTTATACTCTTGCATAGAAATTTTGTATTATAGCCGCCGCCAGTGTTGTGTGTGGGATGAACGGGGAGGTCAACTGTGATGAGAATGTGACATGTTGTGAATGCGGATTGGAAGAAGTAGCCAAAGAAAAATGTATAAATGGGAGTCTAATGAACTGGGTTAGATGTACTATGTGTGAAAGATGGTGTCACGAGGTGTGTTTGAGTAAATTTTCTTTGTAATTAAAATTACTTAATAAAAAATAAATTACACTTTTTAGAATTGTTTATACTCTTACACTTTCTGCAAGTACAACAATCCGTGAATACGTGTTGCAGAATATCTCTCCTGCTGACAAGATTATACCAGTTGACAATGACACAGCTCAAGTTTGTATAAACATGAGCGGGCTAGATTTTTAAAATTAATGTCGACTGAGACGGGATTTTCCTCTCGTTAACGATGTTAGGATCTATCTATCTTCTTAGTATCTATCTATCTATATAATAAAATCTATCTTCTTAGTATCTATCTATCTATATAATAAAATCTAGATAAAAAATAACAACATACAAGACTCGTGTTAAAGGGTATGGCTAAATGCTTGTTTATTTTTAAAAAAAAATTAAATAAATAAAGATGAAAAAAGCATGAAAAATACTTTTTTTTCGCAAAAAGTGTCTCGCTAATTACCCTTAATTCCGCAGGTATGTCTCGCATTATCTTCTCGCATTTTCCCGCCTCGCCATTTCGCTTTTCGCGTTTCGCAATCTCCCAACACCCAGATTTGCTATATATCTAGGCCAAATGTAAATCAGACTGGTTTCCCCTGAATATCTAGATCTAGCTAATGTTACCAAAAAAAAACTAAAACAAGATGGCTACTAAAGTAAATGAGCTTGGTCAGAGGCGTAGCGGGGGGGGGGGGGGGGGGACGGGGGACATATGTCCCCGGGCGCCGACCTTAGGGGGGCGCCAAATTGAAAGTTTGAGGGGGGGGGGTGCAAATCAAGAGTTTGTCCCCGGGCGCCGGGAAGGGTCGCTACGCCTCTGAGCTTTGTTGCATCTGATGGAAACATCGCTAGTCATTATTTATTAATATTTAATATTTTTTAGGGCCTACTGAAAAGTTTTAATACAATTTCAATTGCTTAATAGCAGGTAATCTAGATCTACATAACTGAAACTTTGAAACACTTTTGTAACTTTCAAAACATAAATCCTCCTAAAAATGTGAAATAACTAGGGCCTACTAAAATTTAATGAGTCATCTTTTTACTTTCTCGTATACAAAGTATGGTGTCACCCATTCATGACGTTTAGAATTTTGCTTGTTTCCCTAGGTGATTAATTTTACTAACCTGATGTCTTTTTTTTTTAAATAAATTTTACATTACATATTACTATTACATTGTTTCTTATTTAGGTTTCTGCAATGTTAAAAATTTTAAAGATCTTCAGCTTGACGTAAACTTTAACTGTATATTTCAAGATGTTTAAATCAAGATAAAACAAGCTTTTCAGCAATCTGTTATTTATTAGAATAACCATTACAAAAATCTCACAAGTAGTGAAAAATCAAGAAAAGTATTAAACTTTAAATCTAAAACATTTAATTTAAAACTAAAAAATTATGTCTAGAAAATTGTGTCTTGCGTTTTAGTACTTCACCATTTTACATCTGTTTAACCAACACCCATAAATATACGGGCTGGAATTTTAAACATTCTTGATCATAAGGCTGTGTTGTTTCCATATAGTTCAGTCTTTCAAAACTGCCGTCAACTGCTGCAGTTTCTCCTTTTGAATTATATAAACTAAATCACCTTGCAGAAAATAAATTCCAAGAGAGTGACAAGGCCAACGTTCCAATAGAGTGACAAGGCCAACGTTCCAAAAGAGTGACAAGGCCAACGTTCCAAAAGAGTGACAAGGCCAACATTCCAAAAGAGTGACAAGGCCAACGTTCCAAAAGAGTGACAAGGCCAACGTTCCAATAGAGTGACAAGGCCAACGTTCCAAAAGAGTGACAAGGCCAACGTTCCAAAAGAGTGACAAGGCCAACGTTCCAAAAGAGTGACAAGGCCAACGTTCCAATAGAGTGACAAGACCAACGTTCCAATAGATTGACAAGGCTGAAATATGGAGCCAGCATCTGTTGATACATGCGAAGACTTTCAGTTATCACTGCCTGAGTGCTATGATAGGGTCTTTAACTTGCATCAGATTCTGGAGAAAACAGAAGAATCAATGGCTTCAGATAAAATACAGGTATGTCTCTAGCTTTACATCACATATATGTATGTTTCTAGCGTTACATCAAGTATAGGTATGGCCAGTGGTGTCACAAGATGTGGTGTCACCCAGTGCAACACTTCTTGGTATGTCGTCATTGATTGACTTGTTAGTTATTTAAAATACTCTGGATACCCTTTTTTTTCTCTGTAAATTTTGCAGCTGGTGTCCTTTCTTAACCCCCCCCCCCCCCCCCCCCCCCTTAATAGCAACAATGTTTATCTACAGACGGTTATTAATACAGGTGTATGTATCCTTGGTTTCTCTATAGCTATCAAGTTCACATTGTGGTGTTATTAATACAGGTGTATGTATCCTTGGTTTCTCTATAGCTATCAAGTTCACATTGTGGTGTTATTAATACAGGTGTATGTATCCTTGGTTTCTCTATAGCTATCAAGTTCACATTGTGGTGTTATTAATACAGGTGTATGTATCCTTGGTTTCTCTATAGCTATCAAGTTCACATTGTGGTGTTATTAATACAGGTGTATGTAGCCTAGGTTTCTCTATAGCTATCAAGTTCACATTGTGGTGTTATTAATACAGGTGTATGTATCCTTGGTTTCTCTATAGCTATCAAGTTCACATTGTGGTGTTATTAATACAGGTGTATGTATCCTTGGTTTCTCTATAGCTATCAAGTTCACATTGTGGTGTTATTAATACAGGTGTATGTAGCCTTGGTTTCTCTATAGCTATCAAGTTCACATTGTGGTGTGCTCCACCCCACATATACCTTGTCAGTATTGTCAAGTTGTAGTTAAAATGGCTTTAATTAACTCTCATTAATAAGTTATTGAACTGCACAAAGCATTTTTCTTCTATATAGTTTGGAATTTCTGCCATGGTGTCAACCCAAGCAGCCCACCCCCCACCTCTCTCCACCTATGGCTTTAGTTTTAGATTAACAAGTACTTGAAGTACAGAAGACTAGGCAAAATACAAATATTTCTATTTATTTGTTTATGATATAGATATTGCTCTTTACCATCTTCAATAAACTTAAAGGGAAGATGAAAAAAGTTTGTCTGGATTAGCTTGCCTGTTGTTTAGCAAGTGGATATGTACATTGAACATTAAATACAGAAAATAATTTTAGAATGCTTAATTTTAGTTGACATGAAATCTGGTCAATAAATGAAAGCAATTTTGAGCATCATCTAAAAAAAGTGACCATCCAAAGTGTATGTCATGTGGCATCTAAAACTCAGTTGTTGTTGTTAGGGTCAGCTGAGAGATGGCATCATCGTGACAGAGCGAGCCATTCAGATGGTCAATGATTTGGATTTGTTCAGCCGGAATGAAGACATTGATGAAGTTTCCACTAATGAGCTTAAGTAAGTTGAAACAAAGTTTCTTTCTAACCACCCTCTCTCAACACACTGCAGCTGTAATGCTGATGTCAGCCATAAGGTTGATGTCAGCTGTAGTGTAAGGTTGATGTCAGCTGTAAGGTTGATGTCAGCCGTAAGGTTGATGTCAGCTGTAGTGTAAGGTTGATGTCAGCTGTAAGGTTGATGTCAGCTGTAAGGTTGATGTCAGCCGTAAGGTTGATGTCAGCCGTAAGGTTGATGTCAGCCGTAAGGTTGATGTCAGCCATAAGGTTGATGTCAGCTGTAGTGTAAGGTTGATGTCAGCCGTAAGGTTGATGTCAGCTGTAAGGTTGATGTCAGCTTTAAGGTTGATGTCAGCTGTAAGGTTGATGTCAGCTTTAAGGTTGATGTCAGCTTTAAGGTTGATGTCAGCTGTAAGGTTGATGTCAGCTGTAAGGTTGATGTCAACTGTAAGGTTGATGTCAGCTGTTAGGTTGATGTCAGCTGTAAGGTTGATGTCAGCTGTAAGGTTGATGTCAGCTGTAAGCATGTCAGTAATGAATAGCCATGATGTGCAAGTAGGCCTATTATGACATTAAATATTGTGGATGAAATAAAGCTTTATACAACGCCTCCAATAATGAGTTAAATATTTGTTGTTTGACAGAAAACATCTCAACAATCTTGTCATTTTCCCCCCCTCAGGTATATGCTGCTGTCAGCTTTCTTAGGATATTTTATCTGTCTGAATACACACCTGCCTCGTCCACAAGCTGTTGCTAAAGCCAAGGTAAGACAAGAAATGATCCTGTCTATTGGTCAGTGTATGTCCAGTGTCAGGACAAATGATCCTGTCTATTGGTCAGTGTATGTCCAGTGTCAGGACAAATGATCCTGTCTATTGGTCAGTGTATGTCCAGTGTCAGGACAAATGATCCTGTCTATTGGTCAGTGTATGTCCAGTGTCAGGACAAATGATCCTGTCTATTGGTCAGTGTATGTCCAGTGTCAGGACAAATGATCCTGTCTATTGGTCAGTGTATGTCCAGTGTCAGGACAAATGATCCTGTCTATTGGTCAGTGTATGTCCAGTGTCAGGACAAATGATCCTGTCTATTGGTCAGTGTATGTCCAGTGTCAGGACAAATGATCCTGTCTATTGGTCAGTGTATGTCCAGTGTCAGGACAAATGATCCTGTCTATTGGTCAGTGTATGTCCAGTGTCAGGACAAATGATCCTGTCTATTGGTCAGTGTATGTCCAGTGTCAGGACAAATGATCCTGTCTATTGGTCAGTGTATGTCCAGTGTCAGGACAAATGATCCTGTCTATTGGTCAGTGTCAGGACAAATGATCCTGTCTATTGGTCAGTGTATGTCCAGTGTCAGGACAAATGATCTCGGACAAAATATCTTACGGTCAAAAGATCTCAGGACAAATGATCTTAGGCAAAATATCTCATGGTCAAAAGATCTCATGACAAAAATTTTATTGTATTTAGGAGGATTTTAGTCAATTTTAACATTTTTAATAATTGTCATATTTATTTTTATTTGCTTTTTTTACACATACTAAATGAATGAGTTAAACTAAATTTACAAGATAACATTTTATATTAAATGTATAAGAGATGAAATGCATTAAACAAAATGATGGAAACTTTAGTCAGATTAAGTGAAATAGTTTTCAAAAAGGTGATTGGGTCTCCAGGATTGTAATACAAAAATATGTTTTGAGTGCCTCATCAACACAAATGTAAAGTTTTCTTTGCTGGCTGTTGTCTAGCGTAAATCTGACATATTAAAATTGCAGATGCCTTTCTACGATCTAACAAAAGAGGCCATAGGTGGGAAATAACCAGTAATACAATAATTATTGGTGACCACAAGAGTGTGACCCAAATGTAACTATTGAGCTTGATGATGTGGTGTTGTCCACGGAGAGCAAACATCTCCCTTAGGGCATGTCTCCGCCTACCAAAGCAAGCAGCAATCTTATTATGTATGTGTGTTTTTATAGCCCTTCCATAGATGAGCTAATCTTTTGATCTAGATTCGTCAACTTGATGAGGTAGGGTTGTCTCATGTTTGGCAAGCCCACCTACACAGTCTAGCAAAACTTAGTTTTTATCTACAAATATATTTCTAAATGCCATTTTCTCACATTATTATGTGTAAAAAAAAGTAAATAAAAACTAAATGATAATCAATTTGTTTTAAATGTTTAAATCTATTAAAATCATTTTAAATACTATACAAATTTTGCTGTGAGATCATTAGTCCGTGGTATCATTTTTCCTGATATAAATTGTCCTGATATCTTTCGTTCTGATATCTTTTGTCCCTGAGATCATTAATCCTGATAACTTGTGTCCTAATAACTTTTGTCCTGATAACTTTTGTCCTTGAGTTCATTAATCCTGATAACTTTTGTCCTGATAACTTTTGTCCTGATAACTTTTGTCCTGATAACTTTTGTCCTGAGATCCTGTGTCTGAGGTCCTTTTGTCAGACAATGATGAACTATTTCAACTCCCCAATCTCAGCTTTGTTACACTGACTTTCTGAGGCTGATGAAGTCCTACAATGTTATTGAACATGATATCCATGGTACAGTCTTAGAGGAAGAATCTGATAGCCTAGTTCCTGCATCATACAGGTTGGTTGTTGTTGTAGACTAGACATGGGCTGTTGTTGTAGACTAGACATGAGCTGTTGTTGTAGACTAGACATGGGCTGTTGTTGTTGTAGACTAGACATGAGCTGTTGTTGTAGACTAGACATGAGCTGTTGTTGTAGACTAGACAAGCGCTGTTGTTGTTGTAGACTAGACATGAGCTGTTGTTGTTGTAGACTAGACATGAGCTGTTGTTGTAGACTAGACATGGGCTGTTGTTGTAGACTAGACAAGCGCTGTTGTTGTTGTAGACTAGACAAGCGCTGTTGTTGTTGTAGACTAGACATGAGTTGTTGTTGTTGTAGACTAGACATGAGCTGTTGTTGTTGTAGACTAGACATGAGCTGTTGTTGTTGTAGACTAGACATGAGCTGTTGTTGTTGTAGACTAGACATGAGCTGTTGTTGTAGACTAGACATGGGCTGTTGTTGTTGTAGACTAGACATGAGCTGTTGTTGTTGTAGACTAGACATCAGCTGTTGTTGTTGTAGACTAGACATGAGCTGTTGTTGTTGTAGACTAGACATGAGCTGTTGTTGTTGTAGACTAGACATGAGCTGTTGTTGTAGACTAGGCATGGGCTGTTGTTGTTGTAGACTAGACATGAGCTGTTGTTGGTGTAGACTAGACATCAGCTGTTGTTGTTGTAGACTAGACATGAGCTGTTGTTGTAGACTAGACATCAGCTGTTGTTGTAGACTAGACATCAGCTGTTGTTGTTGTAGACTAGACATGAGCTGTTGTTGTTGTAGACTAGACATGAGCTGTTGTTGTTGTAGACTAGACATGAGCTGTTGTTGTAGACGAGACATGAGCTGTTGTTGTTGTAGACTAGACATGGGCTGTTGTTGTTGTAGACTAGACATGAGCTGTTGTTGTAGACTAGACATGCACTGTTGTTGTAGACTAGACATGAGCTGTTGTTGTTGTAGACTAGACATGGGCTGTTGTTGTTGAAGACTAGACATGAGCTGTTGTTGTAGACTAGACATTAGCTGTTGTTGTAGACTAGACATGAGCTGTTGTTGTAGACTAGACATGCGCTGTTGTTGTAGACTAGACATGAGCTGTTGTTGTTGTAGACTAGACATGAGCTGTTGTTGTAGACTAGACATGAGCTGTTGTTGTTGTAGACTAGACATGGGCTGTTGTTGTTGAAGACTAGACATGAGCTGTTGTTGTTGTAGACTAGACATGAGCTGTTGTTGTAGACTAGACATGAGCTGTTGTTGTAGACTAGACATGAGCTGTTGTTGTAGACTAGACATGCGCTGTTGTTGTAGACTAGACATGAGCTGTTGTTGTTGTAGACTAGACATGAGCTGTTGTTGTAGACTAGACATGAGCTGTTGTTGTTGTAGACTAGACATGAGCTGTTGTTGTTGTAGACTAGACATGAGCTGTTGTTGTTGTAGACTAGACATGAGTTGTTGTTGTAGACTAGACATGAGCTGTTGTTGTAGACTAGACATGCGCTGTTGTTGTAGACTAGACATGCACTGTTGTTGTAGACTAGACATGAGCTGTTGTTGTTGTAGACTAGACATGGGCTGTTGTTGTTGAAGACTAGACATGAGCTGTTGTTGTAGACTAGACATGAGCTGTTGTTGTAGACTAGACATGAGCTGTTGTTGTAGACTAGACATACGCTGTTGTTGTAGACTAGACATGAGCTGTTGTTGTTGTAGACTAGACATGAGCTGTTGTTGTAGACTAGACATGAGCTGTTGTTGTTGTAGACTAGACATGAGCTGTTGTTGTAGACTAGACATGAGCTGTTGTTGTAGACTAGACATGAGCTGTTGTTGTTGTAGACTAGACATGAGCTGTTGTTGTAGACTAGACATGAGCTGTTGTTGTAGACTAGACATGAGTTGTTGTTGTTGTAGACTAGACATGAGCTGTTGTTGTAGACTAGACATGAGCTGTTGTTGTTGTAGACTAGACATGCGCTGTTGTTGTTGTATACTAGACATGAGCTGTTGTTGTTGTAGACTAGACAAGCGCTGTTGTTGTAGACTAGACATGAGCTGTTGTTGTAGACTAGTCATGCGCTGTTGTTGTTGTTGACTAGACATGAGCTGTTGTTGTAGACTAGACATGAGCTGTTGTTGTTGTAGACTAGACATGAGCTGTTGTTGTTGTAGACTAGACAAGCGCTGTTGTTGTTGTAGACTAGACATGAGTTGTTGTTGTTGTAGACTAGACAATCGCTGTTGTTGTTGTAGACTAGACAAGCGCTGTTGTTGTTGTAGACTAGACAATCGCTGTTGTTGTTGTAGACTAGACATGAGTTGTTGTTGTTGTAGACTAGACATGAGCTGTTGTTGTAGACTAGACATGAGCTGTTGTTGTTGTAGACTAGACATGAGTTGTTGTTGTAGACTAGACATGAGCTGTTGTTGTAGACTAGACATGAGCTGTTGTTGTTGTAGACTAGACATGAGCTGTTGTTGTTGTAGACTAGACATGAGTTGTTGTTGTAGACTAGACATGAGCTGTTGTTGTTGTAGACTAGACATGAGCTGTTGTTGTTGTAGACTAGACATGAGTTGTTGTTGTAGACTAGACATGAGCGGTTGTTGTAGACTAGACATGAGCTGTTGTTGTTGTAGACTAGACATGAGCTGTTGTTGTAGACTAGACATGAGCTGTTGTTGTTGTAGACTAGACATGAGCTGTTGTTGTAGACTAGACATGCGCTGTTGTTGTAGACTAGACATGAGCTGTTGTTGTTGTAGACTAGACATGAGCTGTTGTTGTAGACTAGCCATGAGCTGTTGTTGTAGACTAGACATGAGCTGTTGTTGTAGACTAGACATGAGCTGTTGTTGTTGTAGACTAGACATGAGCTGTTGTTGTAGACTAGACATGGGCTGTTGTTGTTATAGACTAGACATGAGTTGTTGTAGACTAGACATGAGCTGTTGTTGTAGACTAGACATGAGCTGTTGTTGTAGACTAGACAAGCGCTGTTGTTGTTGTAGACTAGACATGAGCTGTTGTTGTAGACTAGACATGAGCTGTTGTTGTTGTAGACTAGACATGCACTGTTGTTGTAGCCGAGACATGAGCTGTTGTTGTAGACTAGTCATGAGCTGTTGTTGTTGTAGACTAGACATGAGCTGTTGTTGTAGACTAGTCATGAGCTGTTGTTGTTGTAGACTAGACATGAGCTGTTGTTGTTGTAGACTAGACATGCGCTGTTGTTGTAGACTAGACATGAGCTGTTGTTGTAGACTAGACAAGTGCTGTTGTTGTAGACTAGACATGAGCTGTTGTTGTAGACTAGACATGAGCTGTTGTTGTTGTAGACTAGACATGAGCTGTTGTTGTTGTAGACTAGACATGAGCTGTTGTTGTTGTAGACTAGACATGAGCTGTTGTTGTAGACTTGACATGAGCTGTTGTTGTTGTAGACTAGACATGAGTTGTTGTTGTTGTAGACTAGACATGAGCTGTTGTTGTAGACTAGACATGAGCTGTTGTTGTTGTAGACTAGACATGAGCTGTTGTTGTAGACTAGACATGGGCTGTTGTTGTTGTAGACTAGACATGAGCTGTTGTTGTAGACTAGACATGAGCTGTTGTTGTTGTAGACTAGACATGAGCTGTTGTTGTAGACTAGACGTGAGCTGTTGTTGTAGACTAGACAAGCGCTATTGTTGTTTGTAGACTAGACATGAGCTGTTGTCAATGTTATTTAATTGTTCCAACATTAGCCTGACAATGAATGTTTTGTCCAAGAACAGCAGAACTCGCCAGGATCTCAATGCCATGTCAGCACACAGAAATAACAAAATACAGCGCTTTAAGGAGAAGAAAGAAATGGAGAAAAAGTTAGCAGAACTCAAGTCTCAGATTGAAAGAGCTCATGTAGATGATGAGGTTAAGGTAGGACATCTAGGTCTCATGTCATCTGTCTCATGTTATCTCTGTCTCCTGTCTCATGTCATCTCTGTCTCTTGTCTCATGTCATCTCTGTCTCATGTCATCTCTGTCTCATGTCATCTCTGTCTCATGTCATCTCTGTCTCATGTCATCTCTGTCTCCTGTCATCTCTGTCTCCTGTCATCTCTGTCTCATGTCATCTCTGTCTCATGTCATCTCTGTCTCATGTCATCTCTGTCTCCTGTCATCTCTGTCTCATGTCACCTGTCTCATGTCATCTCTGTCTCATGTCATCTCTGTCTCATGTCATCTCTGTCTCCTGTCATCTCTGTCTCATGTCACCTGTCTCATGTCATCTCTGTCTCATGTCATCTCTGTCTCATGTCATCTCTGTCTCCTGTCATCTCTGTCTCCTGTCATCTCTGTCTCATGTCACCTGTCTCATGTCATCTCTGTCTCATGTCATCTCTGTCTCCTGTCATCTCTGTCTCCTGTCATCTCTGTCTCATGTCATCTCTGTCTCCTGTCATCTCTGTCTCCTGTCATCTCTGTCTCCTGTCATCTCTGTCTCCTGTCATCTCTGTCTCCTGTCATCTCTGTCTCATGTCACCTGTCTCATGTCATCTCTGTCTCCTGTCATCTCTGTCTCCTGTCATCTCTGTCTCCTGTCATCTCTGTCTCATGTCACCTGTCTCCTGTCATCTCTGTCTCATGTCACCTGTCTCATGTCATCTCTGTCTCATGTCATCTCTGTCTCCTGTCATCTCTGTCTCCTGTCATCTCTGTCTCATGTCATCTCTGTCTCCTGTCATCTGTCTCATGTCATCTCTGTCTCATGTCATCTCTGTCTCCTGTCATCTCTGTCTCCTGTCATCTCTGTCTCATGTCATCTCTGTCTCCTGTCATCTCTGTCTCATGTCATCTCTGTCTCATGTCATCTCTGTCTCATGTCATCTCTGTCTCCTGTCTCATGTCATCTCTGTCTCCTGTCATCTCTGTCTCATGTCACCTGTCTCATGTCATCTCTGTCTCATGTCATCTCTGTCTCATGTCATCTCTGTCTCCTGTCATCTCTGTCTCCTGTCATCTCTGTCTCATGTCACCTGTCTCATGTCATCTCTGTCTCATGTCATCTCTGTCTCCTGTCATCTCTGTCTCCTGTCATCTCTGTCTCATGTCATCTCTGTCTCCTGTCATCTCTGTCTCCTGTCATCTCTGTCTCCTGTCATCTCTGTCTCCTGTCATCTCTGTCTCCTGTCATCTCTGTCTCATGTCACCTGTCTCATGTCATCTCTGTCTCCTGTCATCTCTGTCTCCTGTCATCTCTGTCTCCTGTCATCTCTGTCTCATGTCACCTGTCTCCTGTCATCTCTGTCTCATGTCACCTGTCTCATGTCATCTCTGTCTCATGTCATCTCTGTCTCCTGTCATCTCTGTCTCCTGTCATCTCTGTCTCATGTCATCTCTGTCTCCTGTCATCTGTCTCATGTCATCTCTGTCTCATGTCATCTCTGTCTCCTGTCATCTCTGTCTCCTGTCATCTCTGTCTCCTGTCATCTCTGTCTCATGTCATCTCTGTCTCCTGTCATCTCTGTCTCATGTCATCTCTGTCTCCTGTCATCTCTGTCTCATGTCATCTCTGTCTCATGTCATCTCTGTCTCCTGTCATCTCTGTCTCCTGTCATCTCTGTCTCATGTCATCTCTGTCTCATGTCATCTCTGTCTCATGTCATCTCTGTCTCATGTCATCTCTGTCTCCTGTCATCTCTGTCTCATGTCACCTGTCTCATGTCATCTCTGTCTCATGTCATCTCTGTCTCCTGTCATCTCTGTCTCATGTCATCTGTCTCATGTCATCTCTGTCTCATGTCATCTCTGTCTCATGTCATCTCTGTCTCCTGTCATCTCTGTCTCATGTCATCTCTGTCTCATGTCATCTCTGTCTCATGTCATCTCTGTCTCATGTCATCTCTGTCTCATGTCATCTCTGTCTCCTGTCATCTCTGTCTCATGTCATCTCTGTCTCATGTCATCTCTGTCTCATGTCATCTCTGTCTCCTGTCATCTGTCTCATGTCATCTCTGTCTCATGTCATCTCTGTCTCCTGTCATCTCTGTCTCATGTCATCTCTGTCTCATGTCATCTCTGTCTCATGTCATCTCTGTCTCCTGTCATCTCTGTCTCCTGTCTCATGTCATCTCTGTCTCATGTCATCTCTGTCGCCTGTCATCTCTGTCTCATGTCATCTCTGTCTCATGTCATCTCTGTCGCCTGTCATCTCTGTCTCATGTCATCTCTGTCTCATGTCATCTCTGTCTCCTGTCATCTCTGTCTCATGTCATCTCTGTCTCATGTCATCTCTGTCTCATGTCACCTGTCTCATGTCATCTCTGTCTCCTGTCATCTCTGTCTCCTGTCATCTCTGTCTCATGTCATCTCTGTCTCATGTCATCTGTCTCATGTCATCTCTGTCTCCTGTCACCTGTCTCCTGTCATCTCTGTCTCATGTCATCTCTGTCTCATGTCATCTCTGTCTCATGTCATCTCTGTCTCATGTCATCTCTGTCTCATGTCATCTCTGTCTCATGTCATCTCTGTCTCCTGTCTCATGTCATCTCTGTCTCATGTCATCTCTGTCGCCTGTCATCTCTGTCTCATGTCATCTCTGTCTCATGTCATCTCTGTCTCCTGTCATCTCTGTCTCCTGTCATCTCTGTCTCATGTCATCTCTGTCTCATGTCATCTCTGTCTCATGTCATCTCTGTCTCATGTCATCTCTGTCTCATGTCATCTCTGTCTCGTGTCATCTCTGTCTCATGTCATCTCTGTCTCATGTCATCTCTGTCTCATGTCATCTCTGTCTCATGTCATCTCTGTCTCGTGTCATCTCTGTCTCCTGTCATCTCTGTCTCCTGTCATCTCTGTCTCCTGTCATCTCTGTCTCCTGTCATCTCTGTCTCATGTCATCTCTGTCTCATGTCATCTCTGTCTCATGTCACCTGTCTCATGTCTTCTGTCTCATGTCATCTCTGTCTCCTGTCATCTCTGTCTCATGTTATCTCTGTCTCCTGTCATCTCAATCTCATGTCATCTCTGTCTCATGTCATCTCTGTCTCATGTCATCTCTGTCTCATGTCATCTCTGTCTCATGTCATCTCTGTCTCATGTCATCTCTGTCTCATGTCATCTCTGTCTCATGTCATCTCTGTCTCATGTCATCTCTGTCTCATGTCATCTCTGTCTCATGTCATCTGTCTCATGTCATCTCTGTCTCCTGTCATCTGTCTCATGTCATCTCTGTCTCCTGTCATCTCTGTCTCCTGTCATCTCTGTCTCATGTCATCTCTGTCTCATGTCATCTCTGTCATCAGATAAAACTAAACTATTGACATGTATTGACAGACGACACATGACATAACAGATGACACTAACCCATGACATGACAGATGACACTAACCCATGACAGATGACACTAACCCATGACTTATGTTGACAGATGACACTAACCCACGACATGACAGATGACACTAACCCATGACATGACAGATGACACTAACCCATGACATGACAGATGACACTAACCATGACATGTGTTGACAGATGACACTAACCCATGACATGACAGATGACACTAACCCATGACATGACAGATGACACTAACCCATGACATGACAGATGATACTAACCCATGACATGACAGATGACACTAACCCATGACATGACAGATGACACTAACCATGACATGTGTTGACAGATGACACTAACCCATGACATGACAGATGACACTAACCATGACATGTGTTGACAGATGACACTAACCCATGACATGACAGATGACACTAACCCATGACATGACATATGACACTAACCCATGACATGACAGATGACACTAACCCATGACATATGTTGACAGAGAGAGTTCTACCTGACCCAGCTGAAGCACTGGGCCAACCAGGCCATAGATGAGGTGGACAATTGCTGTCTGGAGCTGCAGATGTTGAAACACAGGGAGGAGATGACTAAACCTGGAGCAGCACTGCAGCAAGCCCCTAGCTCTTCTACAAAGGTGGGCTCTTTCTCTGGGCTCTTTCTTAGTGGGGTCTTCCTCTGGGCTCTTCCTCGGTGGGCTCTTTCTCAGTGGGCTCTTTCTCAGTGGGCTCTTTGTGGGCTCTTTCTCAGTGGGCTCTTTCTCTAAGCTCTTTCTCAGTGGGCTCTTTCTCAGTGGGCTCTTTCTCAGTGGGATCTTCCTCAGTGGGCCCTTTCTCAGGGCTCTTCCTCAGTGGGCTCTTCCTCAGTGGGCTCTTTCTCAGTGGGCTCTTTCTCAGTGGGCTCTTTCTCAGTGTGCTCTTTGTGGGCTCTTTCTCAGTGGGCTCTTTCTCAGTGGGTTCTTCCTCAGTGGGCCCTTTCTCAGGGCTCTTCCTCAGTGGGCTCTTCCTCAGTGGGCTCTTTCTCAGTGGGCTCTTTCTCAGTGGGCTCTTTCTCCGTGGGCTCTTTGTGGGCTCTTTCTCAGTGGGCTCTTTCTCTAAGCTCTTTCTCAGTGGGCTCTTCCTCAGTGGGCTCTTCCTCAGTGGGCTCTTTCTCAGTGGGCTCTTTCTCAGTGGGCTCTTTCTCAGTGGTCTCTTCCTCGGTGGGCTCTTCCTCAGTGGGCTCTTCCTCAGTGGGCTCTTTCTGTGTGGGCTCTTCCTCAGTGGGCTCTTCCTCAGTGGGCTCTTTCTCTGGGCTCTTTCTCAGTGGGCTCTTCCTCGGTGGGCTCTTCGTCAGTGGGCTCTTCCTCAGTGGGCTCTTTCTCTGTGGGCTCTTCCTCAGTGGGCTCTTTCTCTGTGGGCTCTTCCTCGGTGGGCTCTTCCTCAGTAGGCTCTTCCTCAGTGGGCTCTTCCTCAGTGGGCTCTTTCTCTGTGGGCTCTACATGGTTGGGCTCTTTCTCTGGGCTCTTCCTCAGTGGGTTCTTCCTCAGTGGGCTCTTCCTCTGTGGGCTCTACATGGTTGGGCTCTTTCTGTGTGCTCTTCCTCAGTGGGTTCTTCCTTAGTGGGCTCTTTCTCTGGGTTCTTCCTCAGTGGGCTCTTTCTCTGGGCTCTTCCTCAGTGGGCTCTTCCTCTGTGGGCTCTACATGGTTGGGCTCTTTCTCTGGGTTCTTCCTCAGTGGGCTCTTTCTCTGGGCTCTTCCTCAGTGGGCTCTTCCTCAGTGGGCTCTTCCTCAGTGGGCTCTTTCTCTGGGCTCTTCCTCAGTGGGCTCTTCCTCTGTGGGCTCTACATGGTTGGGCTCTTTCTCTGGGCTCTTCCTCAGTGGGCTCTTCCTCAGTGGGCTCTTCCTCTGTGGGCTCTACATGGTTGGGCTCTTTCTCTGGGTTATTCCTCAGTGGGCTCTTTCTCTGGGCTCTTCCTCAGTGGGCTCTTCCTCAGTGGGCTCTTCCTCTGTGGGCTCTACATGGTTGGGCTCTTTCTCTGTGGGCTCTTCCTCAGTGGGCTCTACATGGTTGGGCTCTTTCTCTGGGTTCTTCCTCAGTGGGCTCTTCCTCAGTGGGCTCTACATGGTTGGGCTCTTTCTCAGTGGTCTCTTTGTGGTTGGGCTCTTTCTCTGGGTTCTTCATCAGTGGGTTCTTCCTCAGTGGGCTCTTTCTCAGTGGTCTCTTCGTGGTGGGGCTCTTTCTCTGGGTTCTTCCTCTGTGGGCTCTTCCTCAGTGGGCTCTTCCTCAGTGGGCTTTATGGGTGGGCTTCAGCAAGAAGTGGAACAGCTGGTATTGTAAAATTGAGTGGAAGTTGAGGTTAGCTCATGAAGAAAATAAGCCACAGAAATATTTCAACATCAGCAAGAAGTGGAACAGCTGGTATTGTCTCACTGGTGTCTAATTTTCTAGAGTGATTAATTTATTTTTTATTTGCAGCCTTTCCGTCCATTTATTTTGACAAAAAATGAACTTCAAAAGCGAGTATTTGGTGCAGGCTACCCAGCCCTTGCTACCATGACAGTTGATGAATTTTATGAGCAGAAGTTGAAGGAAGGAACACTATCAGAATCAGTTCATGGAGGGTAGGTCTGTGGTTTACATATTGCACCAGAGGGGGGTCTATGTTTTTACACATCACACAGGGGGGTTGGTCTATACTTTTACACATTACACAGTATGACAATCAGTTCTAGGACTTGTGGCACTAATGAGTCTCAACATTGTGTTGGTGGTCTCTATACAACTTTTAACTTTACTTTTTGACTTGTGTTCCTACAACTATTAACTTGACTTTTTGACCTGTGTTCTTACATCTATTAACTTGACTTTTTGACCTGTGTTCTTACAACTATTAACTTGACTTTTTGACCTGTGTTCTTACAACTATTAACTTGACTTTTTGACCTGTGTTCTTACAACTATTAACTTGACTTTTTGACCTGTGTTCTTACAACTATTAACTTGACTTTTTGACCTGTGTTCTTACAACTATTAACTTGACTTTTTGACCTGTGTTCTCACAACTATTAACTTGACTTTTTGACCTGTGTTCTTACAACTATTAACTTGACTTTTTGACCTGTGTTCTTACAACTATTAACTTGACTTTTTGACCTGTGTTCTTACAACTATTAACTTGACCTTTGACCCACCTGCAGCCATAGTTTACAGGAATGGGCCAGGGACCCAGACAAAGATGCTTTAGCAAGAGAAAAAGAAGACGCAGAGAAAGAAGAGAAAGTTGAGAGAGATGATGAGGAATTATTAGCACGAGCCAGGGCAATGGATGATTGGAAGGATGGTAAGGGACACCACTCACTCTATCATTTCATAACAGTCCACCTGCCCAGTCTACCCTAATAACACTCCCTGCCTCTTCACAGTTCAAACCCAACTCTAGACATTCATTTAAGCCTAACCCTGATCCTAACACTCTTGTGGGTAATTGATTGGGGGGGGGGGGTAATAATGCCCTGTTCCCGTACTGATGTGCTGTTATTAGTGTATCTACTGATGTGCTGTTGTTAGTGTATCTACTGATGTGCTGTTGTTATTGTATCTACTGATGTGCTGTTGTTAGTTTATGTTCTGATGTGCTGTTGTAAGTTTATGTACTGATGTGCTGTTGTAAGTTTATGTAGTGATGTGCTGTTGTTAGTTTATCTACTGATGTGCTGTTGTAAGTTTATGTACTGATGTGCTGTTGTTAGTTTATGTGATAACCCTATAATCAATCCAATAAATGCCCAGTAATGGTCAGATCTTTGAATTTTTCCTTTAGAACACAGAAGAGGGGATGGCAACAGACACAACAAAGGATAGCACTAATGGATTTGTCATGTTTAGGGGTGCAGCCTTATCCATGATATTACATTAGGCTGCTTGTGATGGTAGTACAGGTCTATGGCAGGCAGCCCTGAGTGCAGGTCTATGGCAGGCAGCCCTGTGTGCAGGTCTATGGCAGGCGACCCTGTGTGCAGGTCTATGGCAGGCGACCCTGTGTGCAGGTCTATGGCAGGTGACCCTGTGTGCAGGTCTATGGCAGGCGACCCTGTGTGCAGGTCTATGGCAGGCGACCCTGTGTGCAGGTCTATGGCAGGCGACCCTGTGTGCAGGTCTATGGCAGGCGACCCTGTGTGCAGGTCTATGGCAGGCGACCCTGTGTGCAGGTCTATGGCAGGTGACCATGTGTGCAGGTCTATGGCAGGTGACCATGTGTGCAGGTCTATGGCAGGCGACCCTGTGTGCAGGACTATGGCAGGCAGCCCTGTGTGCAGGTCTATGGCAGGCGACCCTGTGTGCAGGTCTATGGCAGGTGACCATGTGTGCAGGACTATGGCAGGCAGCCCTGTGTCAGGCCAGTTGTCTTATGTACATGTGAATTACTTATTGTTGATTAAAATGTTTTTAAGCAAATGAAGTGATTAAAGTTTTTTTATGTTCATAATTTGTTGTGGTTACTGGAGACTCTGGTTAATTAATAGATCCACTGGTATCACTATATTATAGCCTAAATTGGGATGACTAAAGTCAACTGACCATATATTCAAAAAGTTGATGTGCTGTTTTAGTAAGACACTAGTCCTAATGTTAACATCATGGACAGTATCAAGTGATATTGACAACCCCCTCTCTGTGTGTCTATTGACAACCCCCTCTCTGTGTCTGTTGCTGGCTTTGAAATCTAGCATCAGCTCACCAACAAAAGATGCAACACCTGATTTACTTGGAAATTGGGTTCAACTAGATTGACTACAACAATAGTCCACTCAAGTCTATATTATTCTTTACATACATTGAAAGCGTCCAGCGCTGGTGAACACGTCCAGCGCTGGCGAACAGCTGATTGTGTTTACGTCTGGTGTACACCACTGTGGCGGCGGGCGTAGGTATCACGAACGGACGTGACGTCATATGAAAGGACTCTATTCTTTCAAATTATTTTTTTATCCCAAATTAGCAAGTTCCATAGTTAAACAAACAAAGATTTATATAAAATATGTTTACACCATTGTCCGATAATGGAATCTTCTTTAAAAAAGGGGTGTTAGGTTACTGGTAGTTGACTAAATACACACTTGGCTGGCTAATGTCAATTCTAACCCTGTCCCTAACCCCAACCTTGGACCTACCACATACGCCTAACCCTAATTTCTAACCATAAAATTAGTCGAGATTACAATACTACTAACAACCCAACACCCCTTTTTAAAAGAAGATTCCATTATCGGACACCGGTATCTATAATCATCCGAGTCTAAATCTAGATCTTAATGTCTACGTCTAGTTGTTGCATAGATTTAGATCTAGTCTAGATCTAGAATCTCTAGATCTAGAATCCAAATAGATAAAATAAATTTTATAAATTTAGGCCGGAAAAATTGTATTGTATACATTTCATAGCTTACGTAGATCTAGATCTAAATCTAATTTGAATTAAATAGTTCATTTCTTCTTATTCTAAACTCGGCAGATGACGTCATTAGTTAATGTATAAACATTGGTGACGTCATTGTTTCATGGGTTCTTTTTCACAACTATAAACGCTTTTCCTGTTGCATAGTTAAAACTGTTTTTCTAAAATCGAATATGCCTTTGTTTTATATTTTTCTTCTTTAAATAAAATTGTGATTATACATTTAAAACATCTATTATTTTCAACAAAAGTCCGTATCAAGTTCTCCATGCATCGCTGCAGATTCTGACGTGATATCCGGCGAAAATATTTTGCGGTCAGAGAGAGAGAGGAGAGAAGTGCGCACATGGGCTTTTATATATTAGGATTTTTAAAAGTTCAAAAATAATTACAAATGGGTTAAAAATATTGTCTATATCCCGAGTTGCCATCACCCGTAGTGTTATATAAGTATAATAAGAATATTCGAGAAAGTTTAAAGGAGATCACTCATGGATTATTTTGTTCTTTTGCGCACGAAGGGGAATTCGTTTTTGTCTGTCGCACTAAATATGATTAACGTTGTTTTTTGTTTTTATTTTGTTGTTTTTTTACCTAACGGTAAATTTTGCAGTGTAAAGTTTTACTACGTTCTCGATTGTAAGGTGAGTTTTAAAAAATTTCGTTTAAGAGCTATGTTTTTTAGCTTCAAAGTTACCATTACATGACGTTGCTTTGCACCGTAGATATTTTAAAAAATAAATAACAATTAAGAAGCCAGTTCCTAAATATCCTCTATGATTACTTCTTTCCGTTTGCGGATAAGCTTGGGGTATTATAAATGTTCACAAAATTGAAACATGCGCGTCCGCCGGCGCCCCGACAGGACTTGATTTTGCGTCCTGTGCTATCCTGTGAGCGCTATGGTGCATACTTTCGTTTTAAACATTGCGATAGATTATGGATAAGAAAGTGAATCAAATTCGCGCGTCCCCCGGCGCCCCGGCAGGGTGCTATTTGGCGCCACGGGCCTTCCCGTGTTCGCCATGACTCCTACGTTTGTTTAAGTAAGTGCAAAAGACTATGAATAAATTGGGGTATTATAGTCGTTTATTAGCTGAAAGAGGCGGCTCAGCCGGCGCCCCAGCATGGTGCGATTTTTGCTTCCTGGGCTAGAATGTGAGCACTTTGAGTTTATGTTTGCTTTTGTGTTTTCTTTGTGTTTGGGTTAGGTTAGCGTTGGTGGTTTGGTTTGTGTTTGCGTTTGGTTTGTTTTCGTTTGCTTTTTTGTTTGCCTTTTTGTTTGTGTTTTCTTTGTGTTTGCGTTGGGTTTGTGTTAGCGTTTGTATTTGTGTTTGTGTTATGTTTGCGTTTTTCTTTTGTGTTTTGGTTTTAGTTTTGGTAGGTTGTAGTTAGTGTGGGCAATGCCGGTTATATTTAATTTTTAAACATACAAGTCATGGTCCTTTACAGATAGGTTTTTCACAGAGGCCAGTGTAGGGCCTGGGCGGGACGACTAGTTTGTTTATATACTAAATTCGGAAGATGACGTCATTAGTTTTGTGTTATGTCTGTAGTTTAAAGTATGTGACGTCATTGTTTATTGCGTTCTTGTCACAACTATAATTAAAAGTGTGTTTCTACATACGAATATACCTTTATTTTTATTTTTCTTCTTTAAATAAAATTTAGTTTATACATTTAAAACATCTAACATATTATTTTCAACAAAAGTCCGTATCAAGTTCACCATATATCGCTGAAGATACTGATATCATAGCCTGTGAAAATATTTTGCTGACAGAGAGAGAGAGAAGTGCGAGCATGGTCTTTTATATATTAGGATGTATATTGTATATCCAACACAATGACAGTGTAGGTTTCCATCATTGACTGAAAGAGTTACATCCAACTCATTGGTTGCCAGCCTGTTTTGATGTCTGCCTAAGTCTGCTCATAATAAACCTCTTGACCAGCATGTTGGGGAAGTTTTGGAACTCTTGCAGTTGAGCAGCAGACACTGTAGGCAGTTCAGACTCGAGCCTGTCTACAATCACCACACACACCACAGCAGCTGGAGACAGAAGATACAACTTTAGAAAGGTGGTCAGTAGAAATACAATTTTAGACTGGTGGTCAGTAGAAATATAACTTTAGACAGGTGGTCAGTAGAAATACAACTTTAGACAGTTGATCAGAAGAAATATAACTTTAGACAGTTGGTCAGTAGAAATATAACTTTAGACAGTTGGTCAGTAGAAATATAACTTTAGACAGTTGGCCAGTAGAAATATAACTTTAGACAGCTGGTCAGTAGAAATATAACTTTAGACAGTTGGTCAGTAGAAATATAACTTTAGACAGTTGGTCAGTAGAAATATAACTTTAGACAGGTGGTCAGTAGAAATACAACTATAGACAGTTGATCAGAAGAAATATAACTTTAGACAGTTGGTCAGTAGAAATATAACTTTAGACAGTTGGTCAGTAGAAATATAACTTTAGACAGTTGGCCAGTAGAAATATAACTTTAGACAGCTGGTCAGTAGAAATATAACTTTAGACAGTTGGTCAGTAGAAATATAACTTTAGACAGTTGGTCAGTAGAAATATAACTTTAGGCAGCTGGTCAGTAGAAATACAACTTTAGACAGCTGGTCAGTAAAAAAATTGTCAGTATGACAGTCAGTAGGATCACAGTTTCAGCCCTGGATTTTTTTGTTAATATTCTGTAGTGTTACATTTTTAAATTACTCATGATGAGACTCACAACTAGGATAGTTTGACGTAGCTTATCTCCCAGATGTCTTATAGCCTGCAATAGTCCATCTCATGAACCCCTAAATATCAATTAGCCATGGGATGACCATGACGATTTGAACTTGAAAATGTGATCCACCCAAACAACCTGAGATTAAAATGTGAAAAATTTACATTTGATTCCAACTTTTCTGCCCATGGCCAAGATTCCCGCTGACTCCATATCCATATTCCTGACGCCGCTGTCATAGAGGAGAGTCAGAAACCTCATTTGGTCCTCTTTTGTGTAGTCACAGAACGAACCATCCAGTCGGCCTTGACCTTAATAAGAGTTGAATAACGGTTTAAAAAGCTCCCTGTGTCAGTAACTTGTCAGTGTCAGTAACTTGTCAGTGTCAGTAACTTGTCAGTGTCAGTAACTTGTCAGTGTACTGAGCTCCCTGGTTGTACAGTCACCAACTTGGTCAAGGCTAGACAACAACTGCAACATTCAAATAATGGACAGAACACCCCCCTCCTCTATCTAGAACAATATCAAGCAAGGCTATATGTAAGGGGCTGGGGAGTTATTTAATTATTTTATTACAAAAAGGTGAATGTCTTTTTGTGTTCCTCTGAGGATTGTTGTGGTTTCTAGTTAAGTAATCCGCTATTCTGGCGCTGATATGATTAGGATTTTAAAATGGTTTGTAATTGCTTTGTCTTGTTTATATTTTGATGTTACTTATGCAAACATTGTTTTTTAACGAGTGTGGCTCCACTTTGCTTTAAGTCCTGAATGTTACTTATTATTGTATTATGGACGATTTTCTTGTGCGTGGTATTGGTTGTTTTTTTTTGTTCGTGAATGTGGTGTGTGGAAGGCGAGGGACATTCTGCTGGAATGTTGAGGCCTGTGTGTTGAAGTGTTTCTGAGTCACATTTATGTGGTGTATGGTAACGTAGGGTTATTTTTATAGTGTTTTATTATGTTTTCCTTTTAACAGTTTGCTTATTTTGTATACAAAGTGACTACGTACTATTTAGTCACTTCGACTTTGAGAAGTCTCAATGTTTGTTGTATCCAGACCACATGGTAGTATGATGGCCTGGGTTTAGTCATGGATTATTGTAGATTTTACTTTCATTTATGAGAGCCTCTTGTTTAGGCCGACAATTGTGTCAACTTAGTGCCTTGTGTATAACTTTTTTTACATTTTGAATTGATTTGTATATTTTTCCTCTTTCTAGGACGGTGGTCCGAAATTAGGTGTTTTGTTTCGTTGAGTTCTGTTTGTTTTGTATGTCTTGAGTGTTTTGTTTTGTCTAGATCTAGATTAGATTCTAGTTTTTAGCGCAATTTCCATTCTGGAGAATTGCGTTTATTAACCCGTCATTTCTGGATGTATGAATGTATGAATGGATGGATGGATGGATGTGTGTCCGCAGCTTTAAGTCGTATCTCCTCCTCAACGAAGCAATATCGATGACTAGTTCCAAAAGCAATTGTGTTAAGCAAGTTACGAGGATGAACATAGGCCATAAAAATTCCGGGTTTCTTTCATGGATTTCACGGAAAAGCCAAAAAACCTCGAAAAAGCAGTTTTTGGCCCATATCTCGGCAACCAGACCACTTAGCGACTTGAAACATGTACCAATCGATTTCTGCCATAATTTAGAACAATATTGCCGAAAAAAGTTTTCAAAAATATCCTTTCGTTCGGTCACAAAATTTTTTTTGAATTAATTAAAATTTGGACCGAATTAGTAGGCATTTTTTCCAACCACACCACACGCGTCATCACGTTCAATAGCTGCGCCATCGCGTTCCATGGCTGCGCCATCACGTTCAGTAGGCGCGCAATGGTTTTTAGTCATGTAACTCTATTGTAAATAAAACATGTAAAATACTGGAAAAAAATTAATAAAAAACGTTTTAATAACTAACCAATGGTTTTACTAACCCTGCTCTTGATTTACGCTACGACAGAGCTATTTTTAGATAACATAAGGAAATTGCGCTAAAATTGTCACTAGACTTTTTAATTACCTTGTTTTTATGTAAGTTTTGGTTCCATATTTTTGTTAAATAAATTGTATTATATTGTTAAAGTTTGTTTTGTTTTTAGTAGTATTTTTATTTAGACTAAGGATAAGATTTAGCCAACGTGGGTTTCACCACGGTTGCACTGAACCGGACAATTATATAGATAAGCCTAGGGTAGATAGTCATCCCCACCCCTAGCAGGGCTTACAAATACAACAACTGCTACATTATTTCAACTGCTAACACTCCAAGCTGCACCTTGATAAAAGTCATCAGCACAGTACGTCTTCCCAGCTATCACATCGAAGGTGTCCTCTGGAGCTCTGTCCTGGATTAGTTCCTGCACCAGCTCAGGATCCACGTCTGTTGGCAGCTTCAGAGGCAAACCTAGAGACGACTTGGTCAGGATAGAGAACTCAGATTTCTTTTCAAATATCAAATAGTTTTGTTATATTCTTCAATTAAAACTAATCTTGTGAATTTGAGTAAAGAGATAGTATCAAATAGAAGGCAAAAAGTGCATAGATGTTTAAAATTATTTTCACAACAAACATAAAAACGGTTGAGTGGGGGGGGGGGGGGGGGGGAGACCGTTTCAAATAAGCCTATTAAAAAAAAAAGTTCCTCAAAAAGGACGGTGAGCGAGATTCCAGCTCCCCCAGTAAAACTCCACAACTACCACAAGAACTCAACCCAGTAAAACTCTACAACTACCACAAGAACTCACTGTCAGATAAACGGGTTCCAGACCAGCAGAGAGCGCTGCTGTGGACACGATCACTGTACCTGCCTTCACACCTGCAAAGGGGGGGGGGGGCAACAAATTAGCTGAAGAAGTAACACTATGGTAATCAACCCAGCCCCTCCCTACACTTACCTATGCCCCCACAGGTCCCAATCCTAATGAGCGTGACGTCATGACACTTGGCTTTATGCAGCAGTTTAAAAACTTCATGCAGCATCACAGAGAGGGACGGGTTTCCAATCCCATGCTGGAGTACAATGTACATAACTGAGTGGCAATTTTTTCCTAACATGTACATAACTGAGTGGTAATTTTTTCCTAACATGTACACACATTTATGTACACAATAGAGTTGTAATTTGTTTCCGAACATGTACATAACTGAGTAATTTATTGTATAAATTATACACAAACTTATGTACACATTTAGAGATGTCTCAATAAAACTGGAGAAGGGGTGGGAGGGTTGCATTGTTTGGGTGTAAGTATGTTTGAACAAATATTAGTCACGAATACATCTAACTGGTAATTGTACACATCAGAATGATTTCTATTTGTTGCAAGATCGCTGTCACACTTTGAAAGGCCATACTTACATTGACACACAAAATGGGGCCAACTTTAAATCCGGAGTAGCGCTCGTTTGAAATGTCAACAAGTTTGTCACGATCGTCTGTAGAATCGAGCTCCGCTGCCAGAGCTGTGGCCAATCTCTTGATTCGATCAGCTGTGCCGCCCACACACACAAACTGTAGACACGAGGAAGTGACTAGTTTCTAATTATCTAAGTATTCTAGTAGGGTACCAGACAATACATGATCGGTCACACCATTGGGGGGGGGGGGGCATAGAGACAAGGCCAACATAGCGTGACGAATATGTTAACACAGCTGTGTCTAGAACTATATTAAAGATGGTTTAACTGTGTTTTGTGGGCACAGCATGGTGCAACAATCAAGTGGTTTAACCGTTAAAACTAACCTACATCATTGAACACCAACCAAGAGATTTATTCATCCAACAATCAAGTGGTTTAACCTTCGAACAATCAAGATGTTTAACCGTCCAACATTCAAGAGGTTTAACCGTTTAACCTGTAGATTTAGAACCCACCTGAACCTGTCTGAACGACATCAGCACCTTAGGGTTGTTGATGTCGATGTTGAGGTGAAACAAGTAGTCACCTTCCAGCTTCTCCAGGTGGCTGTTGGGTAGTCGGACTTGACCGTCGCACGTTCTGGAAACATTTCAAACGTTCATTGATATGTGACACATCAGGATGTATGGTGACACATCAGGGTGTATGGTGACACATCATGGTGTATGGTGTATTGTGTAAACCAAAGTCTGTGGTTAACCCTTTATTTACGAAATTATGTTCTGAATGAGATTTTTACTTAAACAATGTGTTACTATATTGCTTTTGGCACATTCAAAGCATATGTCCCAAACAGATATTGGTACTTATAAGTACCGTCAGTAATCTAGGACATTTCTTTTTTCAAACATTTTTTTTTTACAAAACAGGAACAAACGATACAATTTATTAACTAATAACATGGCAATCATCATAACAATCACATTTTGTAATTTTCACTCATAAATACAGCACAAAAGTATATTTTGAGTACGATTTTTACTGGATTTTCTATGGGAACACATCTTAGACCTCATACACAGCAAAAGTAGTCAACATGTCATGCTCCCTCAATCTTGTCTGTGGTCTTTCTGGTGTAGCAACGGTTGGCGGAATGAATATGCTTTTGCTGGAAGCTACCAATAACTAGTACAATGAACCGCATAAACAAACAAAAGCCTAGTCACTCAGCACACAACTACTAGTAATACTAGTATAATTGTAGCCTACTAGTATGTTATGACAAGTCTACACTACAGTGTAAAGTTCATAAATAGAAGTGAGCTCAATGTGTTTAGGATAGCCATAGTGGATTATTCTTTTCTGTTTACTGATTAAAATGTACCTTATAGATCTATACTATATGCAGAACAGAGGCGTATCCAGGTTTTCGTTGTAGGGGGAGCGAAAAGAGCAAAAAAAGGCGCCGAATTTTTAACATGTTCTATATACGTGTATCATATGTATATATATATATATATATATATATATATATATATATATATATATATATATATATATATATATATATATATATTTATTTATTTATTTATTTATTTATTTATTTATATATATATATATATATATATATATATATATATATATATATATATATATATATATATATATATATAATTACTAGCTGTATGTCATTACTTCGCTATGATGTAAAATAAATTGAAAGTAGCACTCTGAAGAAATAAGAAAAAACACACAATGTAGGCAGACAAAAGCAAATATGTTAAGCAAGTTCTGAGGATTATTGTGGGCCAAAAAAATTCCCGGAATTTTTTCCTGGATTTCCCGGAAAAGCCAAAAAACCTCGGAAAAATGCAGTTTTTGGCCCATATCTCGGCAACCAGACCACTTAGCGACTTGAAACATTTACCAATCGATTTCTGCCATAATTTAGAACAATATTGCCGAAGAAAGTTTTCAAAAATATCCTTTCGTTCTGTCACAAAAAAATAATTAAGAAATATTTACTACTTTTTTAAACTGAGCATCGTGTAGGCCTACTCGTTGATATAGGTTAATATAGTTGTCTTTTTTTTTAAACTGAGCATCGTGTAGGCCTACTCGTTAAAATAAAACTATTTCAGTTGCTGAATATATGATTTATCTCGATTTAAAATTGTTATGGATAACATAAGGAAATTGCGCTTAAATTGTCACTAGACTTTTTATTAACTTGTTTAACATAGTGATAGGTATGGGTTAGATCACTGTATTGATCACACACCTTTTTACTGGGTAAGTGCAAAAACAATATTCACAGAGTTTTATGTTTAAAAAGCTAATTTTCTGGCGGCATGGTACTCTGGTACATGGTACTCTGGTGGGTGGGGGGGGGGGGTGGTTTCAACTTCATTCACCACTGTCCGTTCACTTTAGGTCAATTATCCAACCCAGTGTATACCTAGGTGTGACATTAATGTCGCTCTACACAATTGTGGTGGTGAGGTGGGGGGGGGGGGGGGAGATAACCAACTCAGAGTGAACATACTGTCAGTTTTTAGATGACTGTTCTAAACATACACATATATTACACAAATATATATTACTAAAATATATATTACAGAAATAGATTTAAATAAGTAGCAGTGGTATTATGACAATATTTTTTTTACAGAGGGGTCCATGGGGGAGGGGGGGGTTGTAACTGTTTCATATAATTTGTAATCGTAATCACTATCGCCCAAACTGTAAGAATACTACTACTTCATCGTGATGACGTTGTTGACCTTGTCAAAATTTCCCTACCACTACTCAGTTTGCTCATAAGTAAATTTAAATAGAGGTGCCACATCAGTTACATTTGTTTCTGTATTGTAATTTTTTAAAAATTAATCACACGATTCAAACTGTATATTTAAAGTAATTATGTGTGAAGTTTTATGTATAACATTTTCTAATTCAATTATTCGTAAGCAAATACATTATACAGTTGCCTTAAACTTAACACCCCTCTTGCCAAGTGGTACTACCGTAGAGGTTTTTTAAACATTGCAATGCATCGTAATGGTTATTTTTAGAATGGCAAACTAATGCAGCTGTTAATACGTGTTGTAAACGTAGACACTAATAGACTAGTACAATAATGCTTAATTGCTGCATGAAAAGAAATCTTGTGATTTACATAGATGTGCCGACCAAAAATATTTTTTTAACAAATACCATTGTTTAAAACTTTGAGTTTAAAAAGTTTCCAAAAAGGCGCCACTTTGCTGAAAATGGCCAGAGGGGGAGCGGCCGCTCCCCCTGCTCCCCCCCCCCCCCCTGCGTACGCTACTGATGCAGAAGTATGGACTATTACTAGTCTACAGGTATACATTACGTAAATGCTAGTTATTGTTGGCAAGACAGTTTATTGCAGTAAATATAACTAACAAATTAAATCTAACTACTAGGACTAGGCTATGGTATACAAATGCAGTCAACTAAACCTTGTAAACAAGCCTGCAACTGATACCTTTATTCTTGTTATTTTTACTAATAGAAATTAACATGTAATTACAATATTTCTTAGGTAAACCTTATGCAAGCCTTCTTATAAATGTGTAAATATCATTTTTTGAGTACATTTCGATAATTTTTTTATCAAGACAATATTTATGTAACTCCACCTAACAAATCTGCCATTTTCTAAAAATCCTAAAAAAAATGACCGTGTGCCCTGACGGTACTTATAAGTCCACTTGTAAACATCGATCTAATACAAAGACAATTTGATTAAAATTGTATAACTAGAAGTTAAACGCGTTTGCCTGACTATTGAAGGTGCCAATAAAAAATATTTGGGGTTGAAAACTTGAAAAATAAGGTAAAATAAAGGGAATTCAGGAACGTGTGTGAGAACTGTACAGAACAATTGTGAACTACCGATATAGCAAGACATTGAAAATGGTGCCACACCATTAATTTAAAAAAAACATTGATACCTCAGACTACCGGCGACTCAGGGGAGATAATACTATTAATTACCTCAATAATTTATAAAATTCTTATTAAATTAAAAATAATACAGGCACTTAATTAAAGTGGTACTTATAAGTAACGTCAGTAGATAATTGGTTAACATGCGCGTCAACCCAGTCCCCGGCAACATATTTGGTACCCAGTCCCCGGCTACATATTTGGTTTGTCCATACGGCGAAATTCTTTTTTGTTTAAAAAAAAATCAAATATTGGTTAGAGTTCGGGTTAGTGTTAGGTTTGGGTTTAAAATCAATATTTGAAAAAAAATCTATCGGGAGTGATCTCCCCTAAACTTTTTCGAATGTTCTTAGATAACACTAATGTGGATGGAAGCTCCAGTGCAGTCGGGATATAGACATTTTAAAAAAAACCATTTTGAGATACTTTGTTAAATTTTTACTTTCTCGTATATACGATGTATAGAGAAATTATTGTAATCATACAAATAAAAACAAAAATCGAGATTTTTGCAAATCTTGACGTTTTACACCTCACTGAGTCGGAAAAACAAAGTTTTTCAATCTTGTCAATACGTCAGTGTATGTGTGTGTGTTTATGTATGTATGTGTATCTGTAAACACGATAAGTTGAGTACCGTTACAGCTAGGCTGATGAAATTTCATATATAAGTATTATATCAAATTTGTAGATCCGTATTAAGTTTTGAGCGATTTCCAATAACCGGAAGTGGAACTATTTCTACTTTGAATTTTTCAAAAGCCTATAAATTAAGTACTATTTCAGACAGATAAATGAAATTTCACATTTTAGTAAAAGATCTAATTCTCTGATTTTTTTTTCAAATTTTGAGTCATTTCCGTTGACCAGAAGTAGTAATTTACGCTATGTCCGATTTCTCAAAAACGCATGTGAATTTATTGAGTGCTAATAATATTCCGCACTATTATGCATATTTTGTTTGGGGTTCACTTGGTGTGCAATTCTTTTTCGACGAGATTTTATTCTATTTAAAAAAAAGTTTAAGTATTTAAAATGGATTTTTAAAAATTCACAAACACGTTTTAATAACAAGCTTTTATGTAATAATGCACTAAAAAGTAGAAAATGAATTATAGACTACTATTTAAATAACTATAAAGAAAACCGTGGGTCACTTTATTATCTATTGGATACCTTTACTAATGTTAAAGAAGACACCCACGCTTTTCTTTATAGTTATTTAAATAGTAGTCTTTAATTTATTTTCTACTTTTTAGTGCATTATTACATAAAAGCTTGTTATTAAAACGTTTTTTTATGAAATTTTTCAGTACTTTACAAGTTTTATTTACAACTAGACTACCCGTTATCTAGTTAGATAACAGTGGGTTTCGGGGGGGGGGGGGGGGGTCATCCATAAATGACATCACGTCTGTCACTCAGAGGCGTAGCGTCCCTTCCCGGCGCCCGAGCAGTGTTTCTTCCAGACTTTTTTCTCCGGGGGGGGGGGGCACTTGAAATTTTCGGGGGGGGGGGGGGGCGGACACTGTTAAAAGTATATATTTTCTATATAAATTATATAATTTTTATTTCGTTCGGGGGGGGGGGGGGGGCGGTAAAAAAATTTCGGGGGGGGGGGGGCTTAGCCCCCCCGAAGAGATGCCTGGAAGAAACTCTGCGCC